AACAAAACCCTCCTTCGTCCTCCATTCTACAGACTTTATGAAGGACCCACTTACTCAGTATGTGCAGGTGGCATGTGTGGGACACTCAGGAGCCCTGGATTCTTTCCTGAGCTCTGGCATGACTCAGGGCAAAAGTGAGTTTTGCACAAAGCACTCTGGACCCAAATTCACTCAGTCACCATTAAATGAAGGCCTATGTGAATGAGGCATTACATGAGCTAGGTGCTACAAGGGATATAGAAAACATAACTAAGATTTATTTCCATGTTCACTATGCTATGTTATCTCATTTAATCTTCAGAACAGCTTCATGAGGTAGGTATGCTATTATGTCCATTTTCCTGAGGAGAAAATCCACTTGTCCAAGGTCTCATGGTGAGTAAGTACTGAATGAGGTATCAAACCTGGCTTCCTCTAACTTCTTCATTCTAGTATTTCTCTATATAGGAGCAAGCAAGATACGATTCCCAAGCTCAAGGAGCTCACAATGCAAACGGAAAGAGGATGACAAGGACATAAAGAGCTGGAATATAAGGCAGAACATGTGACGAAGGGCTGCTCACTTATGGTGGAAGGAATCTGAGCAAGTTTCGGGGGGGGGGGCAGGGAGTGGCATTAAGCTATGTGGAATGATATGTGCATTTTCATAGATGGAAATGGGGATTAAGAAAAGCATTTCAGGTAGAGACAACGATACAAGATGGGAGAAAAGGTTGGATAACCACAGTGGTCTAGATTGGCTTATTATCATCCCTACATTCCAGAAAGGGTCCCATACCTTCAGAAGGCTTCAGCAGGCGCAATACATGTAGAGCAGAGTGAGTCACAAAATGATTTCCCCTCTTTCCAGTCCCCCCTAACCACAACACACACCAGCCTGAGAAGCAGTCCTTGGCTAAGAGCTGGAGGTAGAAGCAGGGGAACAAACCTGAATCAACTGGCGTCTCTGATGTCACTAGCCTGTGGTATGGCACAGATCTGAGCCGGCATGGAAGCCCACTGAATGAGTGGGGCGCTGTGCTGACAGATGTATTAGGTTGACTGGGAGGGGGCTATTCCACCCGCGGGCTTTGGGTCACCAAAGGGAGACTGTTCCAGAACAAAAAACTGCACAGAGGCCTATATAATTTCTGAAAGAAACATTTCAGCTGCAGAACAAATGCAAACATCATTTCTAACATATAAACAAATAGAGGAATAATCATTGGATATAAAAATATTCAGCAATTCAAAAGGAGAGGATCAATCAGTGTGCTCAAGACAAGCAGCCTCTTAGGAGACAGCTGTTGCCAAGAACAGGAAAAAACAGAAGAATCTCATTGAGATTCAAGATGGCCACATTGATAAAAACAGGCTGTCATAAAAAAGGGAGCAATGTGAAAAGAACATTCTTAGACTTAGAGGAGAAAAATACAATTTCCAAAACAAAACACCCAGTGAAGACTGCAGTAAACCTGATGACTGAATGTCATATAGAGTATCAGCTCAAGAAATTCTCCCTAAAATAAGGGGGGGGGGGCAGAAAATTATGAAGAATGAAAAGACATGCATGAGGGTCAGAAGGACATCTACCGTATTTGCCGGCGTATAAGACGATTTTTTGGCCCTGAAAAATATGCCTCCAAGTGGGGGGGTCGTCTTATACGCCAGGTACACTTCAGATAGACTGCCCATAGTGCTTGCCCCGTGCCATAGTGGCCTCCCGATGCCCGCCCACTTCATTCCACATACCGTTCAGGCATCAGCAGCGCT